TATGCATAAAAATACATAATCTTAAAATACAATTCTCAGCTATACAATGAACAAAATATTTTACACATAAAATTATATACACACTCTCTGAACTACAAATTAGAACTACAAATTATCTTCTCTACCCATTATTTACATATATCTTCTTACTTTATTAACTACAATGAAACTGCTTAACCAATCCATCTGTATAATTCCAGGCCAATTGGTAATATTTTATTAAAGCAGGGGTTTATTTAACATTTAATTGTTCAATTACTTTTTCCATAACTACTACTGTTTTATGAAAACTTTTTTAAAGAATTCCGACAGTATGGAACAAACAGCTATAAAATGAAAATTATTTTGTACCTGATTTAGATTACACTGGGGTTACATATTTGGACTTGATCCTCATTGTATATTGTATAACTGAAGTTTAATAAATCGTATATTGCTTTGACAACCCAGCTCGTATCACTTATCATCGTTGTTTCAAAAGAGTATATCATATTTTGTTGTAATCTTTTGTATGAAAAAAAATGTTTGTTTTATTACCTCTTTCTATATTGTATTTTTGGATGTTTTGTTTATATGAATTTCTAATTTTACCTAATTCATTTTATGTAATTGGACTTCATGGGCTAATTTTGATTAAATATAAACCCTTTTGGTTTTATTCACAATCCAGAAAACACTTCCTTTGAAATTTAAGTTATTATGTAGCCAAAATATAAGTGGTGAAAATGCAATACCGAACATGATAAATATTATCAACATTTGTTTTTACGTTCATGAGGATTTTGTTTCCTTAATTTTTGCTAAGTATAGAAATCGAATATGTTCGTATATACCTTTATGAAGCCATCGACACTCAAGTTAACTGAATTTGGTTCCATGAAACCCTTAAGTAACAAAAGTTCGTTTATTTTAATCAAGAAAATAATGTTTAAAATATATAAGAGCTGCGTTAGCTGCGTTAAAAAGACATCTTGTCAAGTGTTAATGTGTATAAAATATTTAAATAATATATCGCTAATAGCGATACAAAATGTAAAAGTCTTATAAATGTACTAAATATCCAAAGTATGTTGCCACATATCGTAGTTTCATACTCCAGTTGTCAGAACAAGGAAAGTAGATAACATTGCGGAACTTAGTATCCGATTATAAAGAAAGAGAACTCCTTCGGATTTAAACATATGAAATATAATAGCACAACCAATGTTCTCTAGGCTAATTTATTATTATTATTATTAATGTTATCGCTAGTAAGTTATTCAATAATTATTAAAATAATAAACACAAAAATTTTCTAAAAAGATAAAGTGTTTAATACTCATAACCAGGATCGTTACTAAAATTTTCTCACGTTTTGGTGTGTTCAAAACTAGGCTATGGACGTTTTGTCTATGGTTCAACCCAATACCATGTTCTTAGTAAACTTTAAACGGATTGCGACTGGATCGTTTCGAATCAGATGTTCTCAGTTTGTGTTCTGATGCAGGAGTACTCCGTCTTTTGTTTAGAAGGGAAAAACTGGCAGTCAATTACAATTCAAGACATCTTCCATAAATCGAACATCCCACTTATAGACATATTTCCAAACCAAATTTTCATCAGCTTTTACAAACAAAACAAACTCAACACTTCCTTTATCAGAGAGACTGAATTAACCTTTAAAGTTTTACAAAGGAATACCTTCGATCAAACAAGTAATTTATAACCTTCCATGGACAAGCAAGCCGAGAAAAACAATCCTAAAACTGACCAAATTACTCAAAAACGAAACTTCACCCAATGAAAACCAAACTAAATTTTCACGCCTCGTTGAAAAATTACAGGAATATTTTTTAATCTTTACTGATGGATCTAAATCCTACGAGTCCACAGGCTCTTCTTTTGTTAAGCGAAATTCCACAGAACAAAACTTCACAGATTATGTAGTATATATACAGCTGAACTACATGCAATAGCCTAAGCACTCCACTTCTTCATATCAACATCCTCCAAAACCATCGCAATAATAACGGACTTACTAAGTTCTCTAAAGGGTATGAATAGAATTTATCCGAAACACCCAACTATCCTAAAAATTCATATATATAGAAACATGCTCAAAACATTGGGAAAATCAGAATATCTTATCTGGGTACCGAGTAATATGGGAATGATTGGAAATGTGCTAGCAGATATAGCGGCCAAGCAACCACTTACCCTTCCAGGTCAGAGTGCTGCCGTTCTAACGCCACAAGACATAAGTCTTTCCCTCAGAAAAGAAATAGTTCGTAGCTGACAATCTATGTGGAGTGAGAGCCCATCAAGCAAATTAAAAAATATTAAAAAACAGTAAAGCCGTGGTCAACATCAAACCGTTCTATCCGCAGAGAAGAGGTTGTCTTGACCAGGCTAAGAATAGGCCATACCAATCGAACCTATTCACATCTCCTTAGCAAGCAGCCAATACCAAAATGCCAACACTGTAATATTACACTTACAGTTAGCCACATTTTTCAGGAATGCTCTTTCTATACCTCGAATTTAACTAGTTTCAGACTCACATCTCCAATATAAAACATCCTTAAAACTGACCAAGACACAGTACAGTTAGTGTTAAATTTTGTTAATTCAAACAAAGTGTTAAACAAAATTTAAAAGTTCAAATTAAAATCTAGTTTAGATAAAAATAATTAAACACAGGCGTTGATGACCTCGAGATTTTACGCCTCAAAACCCTAACGAACAGCTCATAACCAGAGAATATATAGACAAAAAGACTAAATTGTCAAGTAATAGATAAAAAAAAAAAAATGTCTTCGAAATATTATTTTATAGTTGGTATAATTTTTTGGTTATTTTTATATATGTATTTACATTATGTCATTCAGTTTTCAGCATTAACTATTTTACTTACCTTCTCTGAATGATGTAACGTGGTTTGATTGCTAAATTAGAAGGTAAAATAAATAGAGTTTTATAATATTATGTATTTTAAATCACAAAAGCCAAAAGGTGCTTCCAGTAAAGTAGGTCAAGTAATTTTTGTTTTGAAGTAGCAAGTTAGATTTGTATTTAGCTTCTTTTAAAAGTCTTAAATACGTATTTTTATAGTAGTCGAAAATTGCAAATGTTATTACTTGATTTTCTTGGAGGATTTTTATCCCTGACCGATAACCATACCATTCATTACATCATAGGATTTTCTTGGAATTTAATCCAAACTAATTACTAAATGTTATTACTTTTGGATTTCATTCTTTAAAATCTAGAAATTAAGAAAAAATTCTCAATAATTTTATTTTATATTTGGTTCGTATTTGTTTGCAGAGATGATGCTTGTTTTATTTCTTGTAAGATATAAGGCCCAAAATTCCTAATACGTTTCATGTTTATCAATAAAGCCGTCCTGAAGTTATCACAATTTTTGGCGAAAAGTCCTTGAAAAAATGTTTGGATGCTCTGAAAATTCATATTTTTTTTTCTAGTGGTGAAAATTTAAAGCTAGGAATTAATGAAGCTAATGCCGAATCTTGTTTGGGTGACACTACTCTGTATTGTTCTTGTATCTATTTTTGAGCTATCTGATACACCTTTTGTTGGTGTCAGCAAGTGAGCTACTATTTATGACAAATACAGTTTAAATTATTTTTAAAAAGATATTATTGGCTCCAGTATTCCATTAATACTCCAACTTTATATTTATTCTTTTAGAAGTTTCATCTCTAGTTGTTTTTCTCTTTATTAAAAAAAAATCTTGTAACATATCGGTTGGTTCAACATATATATTTAAATGTACCAGTACCCGTTCTTAGAAGCGTTTTCTGTAATACTTTCAAACGAAAAACTCTTTTTATAGTCCATTACAAATGTCCGTCATTTAATATAATTTAAAAAAAAAATGTCTTAATATTTCTTGCAGAAACTTTTCCTTGACTGCGAAGGTAGGATGTATCTTTTAGTTAGAAAATTAAAATTAAAAAAAAAAAATTATTTAAAAGTTAACAACACTTTCGATTTTGCACTTCTAATAACGATCAAAAAAGAAAATCAATAAAATTTAAAAAACATTAATAAAATTGTCTAAATGGATTCCATTTAGACAATGTTTAAATATTATTCTACCGATAAATCTGAAAAGTTAAAATTACAGGAGATTGCTTCATTTTTTTGGATTAAGTTTAAAAATTAAAATTATTCAATGCTCTATATTTTCAATTCTGTAATGGCAAGAATTAATAATTATTATATCATAATCTGTAAGTCATATTATCCTAATATAAGTTTCTCCAGTGGCCTTTTCTACTTATTACTTTAAAATTTAAAAAAATATTCATTTGTGCAGATATAACTCCCTTAAAAAAAAACATCACCTTTTTGCTCTATTCATGGTCATCCGGATCTTCAATTGTTCTAGTAATAGACAGAGGGTCGGTACCAGTAATCGATATAACTTATAAAAATTCTAAATTTATGTATATTTAACTATAAAAACCACGATAAAGATAACATAAATATTCAATTCGCTCTTAGCAAAACTGTTAGTAGGAAGATCTGAAATAAACTGATCTCAAGATCACGATAAAAACAACAATGATAAACATTTTAAAATTTTCTTTTGGGAACTTTGTTCATATAGTTGTCAATACAGGGCATTGTTCTTCAATCTAGAAAAAACTGGAACCTTCAAATCAACAAGGAAGTTTACTACTTACAATTAAAGTCTAACCTGTCCATCACTGGGCTAGCTGTCCTTAACTGGTGCGTTCACCCTAAATATTGAAATTCCGATTTTCTTTTTATAATTAAAAATATCCAAAATTGAGAAGGTATAGAATAGACAAAGGCTCGTCATAAACCGACAAAATAGGTTTTATTCCTAGATATCGTTGAAAGGATTACGGTGTCCCGAGTTTTTATAGTTAATTTCGGATTTCGTATTGTAAATATTGAAAAGGGTTTTTAAAAAATTCTAACTATAATTACACATATAAATCCAAAATTTCCTAAGAAATAATTATTACCAATAACGCTGGGCTCGAGATCGACGAAGAGAGCTCTTGGAGTGTAGTTTCCCTTAGACATCTCCTCGAAGAAGGTGTGGAAGCCATCGGAAAAGCTGTCCTGGCTCACATTCTGAGTGCCCTCCGGTAGGCCATCGGTATCCTGCATCTTTCCCGTCGGAGTGAGGCCGTGCTCGGAACTGAAGAGTTCCCAGCAGGTCGTACCTGTCTGTACTCCGGCTTGTCCTAGGTGTATTGATATCACCTCCCTCTGAAAGCATTGGTCATTATATTTGCTCCATTATTTGTCTAACACATTAAAATATAATTGATCTGATGGAATTTCATATAAATATTTAAAAAAACAATCATAAGGTACTATGGGTACATTTAAATAAACATTATATCATGCTATTTTCTTTACATATTGCAATCTTTTTTCTGAAGTCGTTTCGAGTGAAACTTTATGCTAAATGCATCTATTATCTACAGGTAGTTTTAAAAACAAAAATATACTCATAATATATACCAAAGTAACCACTTTTCTGGTTCCTAAAACTATCAATAAGTAATAAATCCGAAATTCACTCAAAATTTATTTATTTAAAAAATAGATAAAAATAGTCGAGTGATTGTAAAATTAGAGTCACAATATTCTGTTCTTAACAATGCTTAGCAGAGTAATATTGGTATTGAAACTGTTCTTCATATATGAAAATTATTTTGAAATAATTTTTAAATAAAATATAAATTAATGAAACCGGGTGGTCACTTGGTATCAGTCAGTATATCGCTACTATTTGTGTAAAAGGTTATTTGTAAGAATTGATTTTTTTTTTTTTTTTCTAAGAGTACAATAACGTAATGTTTCTTTACGGTTTAATAGTATAATTCCTTGTTTTATTTCCCTCATCTATTTTCCATAGTATAAAATTACTAATTACAGTTGGAGACTACAAAATGCCACATTTAGCACAAATAGAATAAGCATGGTACATTGTTACATACGACCTTTTGCACAAACAGTATCGATATTTATTCAGCGTCCGTTTCATCAAATCTGGGCTGGGAATGTTGATTTTTATACTATGGAATAAATTTAGAGTTGTCTAATGTAGTTGAAAAACAATGCTCTCAGCTACTCGTATAAAAAAAAAAAAAATCCAAATTTCAAATTAACTACAAAGATCATATAAATATGATGATGATACTAGAGTTTCTCTCCAACCTTATTAAGGAGGTTCCTGTTTTTCTTAATATACAAACAACTGAAATAACAGAATAAATAATTATCTAATGGTACTGGATTCGAACTCTATGAGAGGTAGTGTACAGTACTGTACGACAGCTGATTCCCACCTCTTGTTACAGGGACAACTAACTAATTCACCTACCCGATACCTAGCAGCGCCATACAAGCCTGCTCAGGCAATATACCAAAAATTGTATTTTTGTTTTTAATTTTTATATGATAAAATGCTCAAATTGTAAATTAAGATATGTAAATACGTCTTATTAATAAAGTTAAATGGCGTTATAACATATAATATTATCACATATACTGATCAAAGCTTAAAAATAACTGTTATTGTAATAGCTCTTAATATCCGATTTACTTTTGGCGGAATGATTACCGCAGTCCTGTCCTGAATTGTCAGGGATTTGCATCCCTTCAGAGTTTAAGCCTTTACGCAGATGGTCCGTATATGAATTATATATGTCTTTTGATCTTCAACAAACTACGTTTTATTTCACTTTGTCCATTAACCGTTTAACCACTACTCTTACTCCAGTTTAGACGCTGATACGTCCGCTAATATTCCTATATAATAAGTTCAGGAGATTGATCATACCGTTAGTATATCATCTTCCCACAAGTCCGTAGATTGATCCCCCTGGTTGTGGTTACCATCCTAGAGGAGTGTGAGGTTGACCCCTCACACCTCAGACCACGAGTGAACGGGTGCTGATCCGCCTGACACTTACGGTCATCCTTCTATTCATCTTCCTTCATTCAATAAGTCATCTTAACCCTTTTTTACTGAACACGCTCTGTCGAGGAATTCTGGTAACTTTCATAATTTCTGCATCAATATACCTCGACAGTACCATATCCATTTATTTATTTTACTGCTGCAATCTCAACTGTATATTATATTCATAAACTACGGTTACTACTAAGAGTTTATTATTATTGGTTTTTGGTCATGTTTTATTAACATTTTTATTTTGTTTTATTTTTTTTTTTCTGTCGGCATTACAGACCTTTTAGATCTTTTGCCGCTTTGACCAACCTCCTCTCATTTCTATCTATCTTGGTCTATGTCTTTCCAGTTATCTGAATGCAGTTCTATTGGATCTTTGTTAATTCGATCAATCTATCTGGTTTCTGGCCTTCCACTTAGTCTATTGAGGCATTTATTGCTCTAAGCTACATGCCTCGCCCAACTTAACCTTCTTGATTAGTTCTTCGAACAATAGCCAATGCTTTATATTATGTCACGAACAAGACCCAACATCATGACTTTAACATTCCATATGTTCCTGACATCATCCCATCTAATTTCTCAAACTTTCACCAGAAATTTATTCTTCATCCCAATCCTCTAGCGCGATCCCTATACAATCCTTCTCGAAGGTTAAAACGGAAGTGGCCTCGAGATATCTTGTAAATATGCTTTTAGGGTCCTGGCAATAGCCAGTTCCTCCACTCAAGTCCTCAGCGTCTGTGGCTCACTCTAGTGCCCTCTTTTATTCTCCACTGGCTTCTAATACCAGTGATACGGCTGGAAGAGTAGCACTGGGATCTCCTGGAATCCTGCTTTGCCTTCCACATTTGGGGAAAAATGCCTGGCTCGGAGATTCATGAGCGAATGTATAGTTTTTGTTTTATTTTATTTGGTTATTTTTTCACTTTTTTTTATCAGTATTATTTATTTCCTTTTTCATCTATATTATTTGTACAGATTGTATGAATGAGAACATTTAGCCCTAATACTTATAGCCCTCTAAAAGTGACTGATTGTATTATTATTCAATAAACATTGGTTTAAAAAAAAATAGTACAAAGCTATCAAAATAAAGACGATTTCTACGATTTCAGCAATTCAGACAACATCTCTTGATCGTTTCTATATTTTATAATTAATGTTGAATTAATTTGCTTCCATGTTCTATAACCATTCAATATTTTTATAATATGCTTTACAATGCTACTCTAGACCTTTCTTGTACACCCCTATCAAATTTTTTTCACCATCATTTCTTTTTCTACAAAATCAATTAATTTTTTTAATTAATTTTGTGTGGTAGCCTGGAATCCTATTATCTTATTATCTCTTATCTTTTATAAATTATTATATATCTTCATCATTTCTATAAAGATAATCTTTCCCTCCTGGATTCGGTTTGTAACATTAGACTGGAAATATATTAAGCTATTGTTTGCCAACATTTTTCTCGCTTCCTTATATTATAATATTTGAAATCAAAGTTCATGAAGCAAGTTGATTTCAATCTAATGAAAGACAATTCTTCTTCAGTATGTTTGAAATACCATCTTATTTTTAAGAGTGAGAATGTAAAAAAAAAAGTTAGTCAGCCCTTCTTGAAAATTTTGATTGAGATACATTCATCCATGAACATTTCAAAGAAATCATTTCTCATATTCATTTTCAAACAAACTGTAAGGTTAAATGAATTAAATATTGTAAAGATCTTCTATTTCTATACTTCCAATTTATTTCACAATAAATTACAAATCCTAAATGAGAGCTTTTAAATGCCAGTAAATCAACAATTCCTAAAGCATTGTATGAAGGTCATTAAAAATTAGAAACCGATGAAAGAAATAATATCGAAACTATTCACAATTGATGCTCATGCTAGGTTAGTAACCTTTTTATATTTTTTTCTGTCAACATGAATAATTTCATATTACTGGCATATGATCAAACTATTTAAAATGGTAGTTGTGGATTTATATCAAGTGTACTCTTAGATTATATTGTAAAGTAGACATCATATTCATTGGACTTGCTTTTGGCGTTCAAACAAGTCTATTGAAAATTAAATCTTAATTATTTATTATAAGTGAATTTTATTTTTTTGAACCTAACCTAACCTAACATAACATAACATCTTTGTAACCTACCTTAGCCATATTTTAAATATGAATTATTTAATATATTTCAATTTTTTTTTTTATTGTTGTTGTTCAAAGTCAAGTCCAGCTTGCTCTTATAAGGAAATACTCGGCTTCGTAATTGCTTATTCATTGTTCAGTGACCAGTTCTTAATTTATATGTTCTATGGTTTTTCTTTTATATTACTCTTTCTCCGATCACCCTCACAAATACCCCTGCTTCACAAAGCCTCAAACAAAATATGCAAGCATCCGTTGAAGCGTTGTAATTTGGATGAGATGACATTTAAGATTTTAATTTTACCACATTTAAGTAATTTCACGGGAAATATTAAGACCAGGCATTGGTAGCGATACTTTTTATACACAATATGGTAATTTAATTGATAGGTGCTCAAAACTTATCCCAGCAACCTTATTTTCCCCCATTAAAAATGTAGGTTACATAGTTATTTTTTTATAGTTGACATAACTTATTTTGAACTGATATAGACTCTTAAAAAAACTTCAATTTAACGCATGAAAATTGCATTTACAATTATAGAAACGAACAAGCGAGATGTGCTGTCGAACAATTGAAAACCGATTGAAAGATAAAATCTAAAACATTTCCAAATTAAAAATGAGAAAAATAAATTATGATTAGTCCAATCACGATAGATACATTCAGTAATTGATTTTATCTGCATTTCGTTGAAGATCAAATATAACCTGTACATTAATAAATGAAATAAATAATAATTGTAATTATAAAAACACACTAACTGTTTAAAATTGAGATTAAAAATTACAATTTTTTCTGATATGATTACAAATTTTCAACTAGAATTTCATAATTACGGCATTATTTTCCCTAATATTTATTAGAAAAAAAAACTGAATACTTGGTTGCTATATAGTATTTATGTCATTGTGCATTACTTAATAAATTACTTACCATTTCAAAGCCAGTACTTGAATTTGGATAGTAAAAAGGTAAAGAATTTAGTTACAAAATTGTTACTAGCGATTTACTACTACGATTTAGGATGACACAAATAAAACAATATTAAAATTTAAATTCACATATGTTTTTCTAGGCTAACCAATTATACATTTTTCTATTTCTATTTCGTATAAATAAATTATATGATAATGATAAGAAGGCATTGGTGATGACTATTTTATCTCTGGTTTATTTTTTTTAATTCATGCTCATAATAATATATTAAAAAGACTAAATATAAATATTAGGCTAAATTAATATATATAACTATATATATATATATATATATATATATATATATATATATATATATATATATATATATATATAAGTTAAAGTACGGAGCGGCACAGTATTAGCGTTAATACCAAACGCACCGATGTAAACAAGCTCATATTGTATATATAGAGGATTAGAAGGAAGAATAAACCAATCTTGATTTCGATTTCATGCGTTTCATTTCGTGAACCTTTTTCCTTTTTTGTATTGTTTCAAGTCCGTTACACTTAACTTATATATATATATATATATATATATATATATATATATATATATATATATATATATATATATATATATATATATATATATATATATTATATATATATATATATATATATATATACGGGTTTGCAATAGGCGCTTGCAATAGGTAATCAAAGTTAAGCAACGCCGAGCGAGGCTAGCTAGTACTTGGATGGGTGACCTTCCACCAAGGAAAACCAAGCTGCACGGGATTCCTTCATCCCCCGGGTATGTGAGACCCGTCATCCTACTGGAGGCAAGTCGCACCGACCGGGCGTAAGTTTGATGATCCTACTCCGTACCTTACATATATATATATATATATATTCTTTTCTTAGTCCCAAGACTGAAGTTCTATACTGCCCTTAAATATATTTACTCTTTCTCTTGTTTTTTCTCCCACTACAAAACCCGTCCTAGACAGGAGTTTATGTTTGTGCCAGCTACCGTATACGGTAGTATAGAATACTTCTCCAAGAATTCATTTTCATATCACTCCAATTCTTGCAGAGCAGCGAAACCTAAGTTGCAGTTTTCCAAGTTACCAAATCATTTTAGGAGTGGTCTAAGCGACTCCAGTATACATAAACATAAAATGTATCGTTCACATAATGTTAGGTTCTTGTGAGTAAAAGGCAAGTTCAACATCAACGAGAAATCCAAGCTTATGGCATCATTTCCTCAGCTTGTTAATCTTCTTTAGTAGTCGAGTTTTAACTTGAATCGGACGAGTATACATTTTTCCCAAATTGACAGTTTTAAAGACTTAACTTTGAAAAAATAAAAAGCAGCTGAGAGATTTCATATAAAATTGCTCCCCTAACAGAAGAAGTACCTATGCGAAGTTACTCACGTATATGAAACTTCACACAGTTCAAAATCTGTAGTGGATTAGCAAAAAACGCAAAATACACAATCGAGGCAGTGAGAATTTCGGTCCTATATACTAATTTCCATTTAATTATCAAAGAAGGTTGTAAGGATACTTAACAAGAACAATCCAACTACTTTTGAACAGGCTAGTATTGTAATTAATATTCACATACATTTTACGAACGCCATGGTTTTCAATATCAAATCTAGATAAAGATGAAATGGATCATCAAATCACGGATTAAGCAATCCGTGGTTCATTTCAATGTATCATCAATTCAGGTTCACCGTGAAACAGTTTAATGTATTGTTATGGAACGTGAGGCATACGAATCTCACAAAAGAAACCTTTTCAAATTCCTAAACAAAAGGATTGTTACACAAGTAGATGATATTGTGATGCTCCTACAGGAGTCACTGGCCATCGTTTCGCAGCAGAGGCGGATGTATAGAATCCAGTCACGGTGCTTTTTTTTAGTTAACTTTAAGGGGGTTCGACTTCTTTCTCATCCGGTAGTCCATCAATCTCTTAAGAAATTTTATTCCATCACAACGGGCTTCAACAATTTTTTTGTACATGGCCGGTTTTTAAACCTCACAGACGATGATCATATAATTGTCTGCATATATTTTTTCAAAATGTTATTCACCGTTTTTAATTTACAAGGTATTAAATCTGGAATGCGTAGTCTATTCTGTAGAATGGCCTCAATAAAAAAGCAAATAACATATGTTAGACAGGACAAAATTAGTTTTTAAGACTTTAATAGACTAATTTGGTGTATTTTTTTTTTTATTTTTACTTATTTTTTTGTGTTTTATTTGTTTTATTATTACTCGGCTGGTCTGTTGTTTTAATTATCTTGTATATTACTTTTTCTTTTTATGTATATATATATATATATATATATACTTTTTTTTCCCCCTTTCTTATGTACATGTTGTGTGACTGAATACTATAGCACTAGTACGAATGCCCTTCAGTGTGGCAGACTGTATTAATACTCAATAAAAGTTTAAAAAAAAAAAAACTTATTTTTTAAAATTATAAATATAATATTTTTTATTCTTTTTATGGCATTGATAAAGGTAAGAGGATGTAGAAATCGACACGTGCTTAAAAGCCAAAGTCTTCGAGGGTCCTACATGTATTGGACTGCATCCAAATTCCTTCTATAACGACGTCATTATTCTCAAGGAGTGCGAGGTATGTTTCTGTAGAAGTTGACATTTATGGGCCACATTATGTTTATTGGCTTCAGCTTTTTGTACCTCCGAACCCAAACCGTTAAAGGAAATATGTAGATTGATATTTTTATCTGTATTTATTTTTATAAAAAAAAAAAAAAACTGTAATGAGATGGATAAATAAAAACATTATATAATATATATGACTGATTTGGGTACTTTATAGTTTTGATTTATGAAGATGTAAATAATATTAACATTCCATACATTTTCTATGTTAATTCTAAGTTTATTCATCATTCAGTTGCATAAAGAAACATTATTAGCTATAAAAAATAAATAAAAGCCGATAGGTTCTTGTCACTGTACGACCATATATAATAATATTAATAATAATAAGCTTTCCTGACATCAGTTACTTTGGCAAATGCCTCTCCCTTTAGTAGAAATTTCAACAGAGAAAAATTGGCTCCAACACAGAAAAATATTATTAAATTATCATTTTAGGAGTGCTACCAATGGGTAGTTTCTCCTCATGTTGTACATGTCATATTACTTCTTCATATTTACTTTTTGTATTTATTATTAATTACAGTTGTAAAGTTTGTTAATAAAATAAAATAAAAATAAATTATATTTTTTTTTTATTGTTTAAAATAAAACAAAACAGATATGCATTTCTTTCATAAAATAATAATATAAGGAATATATAATATATTCTATATGATATAATAATCTATAATATTTTTTTTATTATGATATTTACAACAGTATTAATATGAATACATCAAGTAAATGTGTACAGAGGAATATAATAACATGAAACACGCTTGTTGAGAAACTACTCATTGGTAGCCCTCTAAAATTTCTATATTATAAATAATAATATAATATATTCTTGAAAACACATCTATAATAACAAAGACAAACAAAATATTATAAAACAAAACAACTAAATATTGTTTATAACTTGTTTCCATCTCTTTCTATCCCTCGCCATGAGCCTCAAGTTATCGCCTAGTTTGGTGATGATTAGGAGCAAGTTTTAGTCCATTACAACTTTTAGGTGATTAGTTAGGTCTAACTTGATTTTTTCCCCTCTGCTATACGGTGAAGAAGTATTTCTCCACAACGAAATATCAAAATATTCAAGAATAGTGAGATTTTATAATTACTTAAGCTACTAAAATGTCATTACCACCTATTGTTCTATTCTCAGTTTTCTATTACACAATTTTTTTTGTTCTTTCGAAATTTATGTAAAATGACAGTGAAATTTATTTCCACTCCTAAAGAATAATTAAGGCATTTTGAATTATATATATATTTTAACTTTTGTTAACAGTGAAATATGTTTATGTAGTTTCAAACGCTGTCCCATCACTTTGATGTCATTACCAAGCAAAACACATAGCATCAGATATTTAAACGTTGAAAAGAGGGAACAGTGGGGAAATTTCTTCAGAGTGTAGTAGTAGCCATGGGCAGAGGCGCCCCGAATGGCGCAAGTTGCGCCATCAAAATTTATAAGAGGAGGCATATTTCGAGAAGGTTGTGAATTTTTAAAATTGAAAAGTTTCAAATCAAAAGCATTGTATAAGTTGTATAAGTTGAAGCATTGTATAGACCGCAGGATGTGTAACTGTATATCATCTAAGATATATGCTAGTTTATTTCGTTTAGAATATTTAAATTGTAATTTCGTTTATACTGTTTTTAAGATGCCGAGAATAATAAAATATCTTGGAAGGAGTTGGGGAAGGTTTATGTGCCATCAGCCTTAGGGGGGAGGGGGATGGACACCCCTGGCCGTGGGGTTAAAGGGCAGCCACCTTCGGATAGACTGACCATTTGGGGAAGATCCTTCTACGCATCAGTTTCTTGTACGTTGAGTACGTAGCTTTATTTTTGTCATTACCACAGAGTATATTATCTCGCAACCTGTTCAAATTATTTAATTTATTATAATTAACGTCTGTCTACGGATTTCAGCAAGTCAGTTGGAAAAAACAAATTATAATACTAGTTAGACAGCGGTTATGGCCGAATAAAATAAAGTAAAAATGTCATTACCAAGTTGAGAATTCGTTTCATTTCCACCGAACCGAATTATTAGTTTTACTTACTTTAATTACTGAGCAAAGAACACTTTTGATCTTGGTCATTTGCTCAGATAAATATGAGCGACAATAGAAAGTGTAGCTATTTAGAAAATTGTATTTAAAAGCCGTCAAAATTACTAAAATATTAGAAAAGAATAGAAAAACTTCTTTATTCTGGGACTAGGTCCCTTAACAATAACAATATTATTCAAACCAATTGATAATAAATCTGGCCAGATGACCTATTATAATAAAGAGTATCTAAAATCTAAGCAGTAAAATGAGTATATACATACATGGGTTAACATATTGTAATATTGGTACAAAAAAACAAAAACATACTAATAACTAAATAGGTTTTATAGGTAACCAATTTTAGTGATAAAATATAAAAAAAAAATAAAAATAAAATAACTAGAGTAAATAAATGATTTATATATGTTCCTTTAGACTTTTAGTTAAAAACACATGTAG